GAAAAGTGTGTGCTTTGTGTGCTTAGTGGGGTCACAAATGTTTAAACAAGGTTGGGCACTAAAACCTACATTTGTGCCTTTTTTTGTCAGTGGTTTACAACTTATTTATCTTCTCATTTTCGTCAACTGTTTCTCAATATCTTGAGGCAGGGCGCTCTTGAACATTTTGGGTCACGTAGCACAACCGTTCCTTGTTGGCACAAACCCATCACCAAATTGTTTTAATTCCCTCCCAGCAATGACAAAGCATCCATTTACTCTGTTCCACAAATGCACAAATTCTTCTTTTTCTATTTTTGTTATTTTGGTTATTGTTTTGTTATTTTTTTTCCTCTGTTGTCTACTTTCATCCTTCTTGTTAGGGATTTCCATTCAGAGCATCACAGAATACCGTGCCTTATAAAGCATGTGGCCGTTCTCTTGCTGATGGAAATGGATCTAGTAAATGGGTTTATTTCTCTATTTTATGCAGGTCTTTCTTTGAGGTTAATTAAAACGAATTTTCTATTTATTTGTTTGCCTGCGTCTTATACGACTGTATACAGCTACCAATATATGAAACTAAACCATACATAAAATGACAGTAAAAATAATTCGTATTAAATATAACTTTAATAATAATAATAATAATAATAATAATAATAATAATAATAATAAAAAATAATAATAATAAAAAAATTGGAAGGGACCTTGGAGGTCATCTAGTCCAACCCCCTGCTCAGGCAGGAAACCCTATACCATTTCAGACAAATGACTGTCCAGTCTCTTCTTAAAAACTTCCAGTGTTGGAGCATCCACAGCTTCTAGAGGCAGGTTGTTCCACTGGTTAATTGTTCTGACTGTCAGGAAGTTTCTCCTTAGTTCTAGGTTGCTTCTCTCCTTGATGAGTTTCCATCCGTTGCTTCTTGTCCTGCCTTCAGGCGCCTTGGAGAATAGCTTGACTCCCTCTTCTTTGGGGCAGCCCCTGAGATACTGGAACGCTGCTATCCTGTCCCCCCTTATCCTTCTCTTCCTTAAACTAGACAGACCCAATTCCAGCAACCGTTCCTCATATGTTTTAGCCTCCAGTCCCCTGATCATCTTTGTTGCTCTTCTCTGCACTCTTTCTAGTGTGTGTGTGTGTGTGTGTGTGTTTGAATATGTCTGTATGAGAGAGGGACAACTAACCCCGCGCCTGGTTCTTTAAATTCATTTAGCATTCGGACCATAATGAGTCGCCTAGACCAGGGGTAGGCAATCTTGGCCCTTTTATGACTGGTGGACTTCAACTCCCAGAATTCCTGAGCCAGCCATGCTGAGGGGAAAGGGAGAGGTTTCCAAGCTGAGCCAGGCTGGCTCAGGAATTCTGGGAGTTGAAGTCCACCAGTCATAAAAGAGCCCAGGTTGCCCACCCCTGGCCTAGCCTGTCTGCAGATGAACGCTCCTACTTCGCCTTGTAAATTTCCACTTGCTCTGCTTCCTTTCTCTTCGCTGTGAGTTTTTCCATGGCTGCTGTCTCCTCTTTTAAGTCCAAAAAAAGGCATAAAGATATTATCAGGCAGGCATGGCTGCATACCAGGCAGACACTTCAACCGAAACATCTCCCTGGCTCTGTGGAGGCGACTCTCTGTCGAAGGCAATGGGGGGGAGGGGGGAGGAAAGGGACGCAAAGGCTGCTTGAGGATATTGTAGTGGGGGAGGACAGTACTTAAAAGTTCAAGGGACACCCAGGTAATTTAATAATTCATAGAATCACAGGGTTGGGAGGGACCTTGGAGGTCATCTAGTCCAACCCCCTGCCCAAGCAGGAGACCCTATACCGTTTCAGACAAACGTCTGTCCAGTCTCTTCTTAAAAATGTCCAGTGTTGGAGCATTCACCGCTTCTGGAGGCAGGTGGTTCCACTGGTTAATTGTTCTCACTGTCAGGAAGTTTCTCCTTAGTTCCAGGTTGCTTCTCTCCTAGATCAGTTTCCATCCGTTGCTTCTCGTCCTGCCTTCAGGTGCATCAAAGGGCCAAGTTTGAAGACCCCAGCTTTAACATAAGCCAGGGTCATTCTGACTCTAACTCAGAGGCCCCCAACCTGTGGGGCACCAGGGACCACCAGTTCCATGGGGAGAGGTTTTTCCACGGACCGGAGGGTGCGTGATTTTGTGTGCTGCCTGCATCCCACGGATGGGGCTCTGCTTCTTTGTGCGGACGGGTTGCTGGCATGCCACGACCCGGTGCAGGTCCACGGCCCAGGGGATTGGAGACCCCTGCTCTAAGCCTCATCATATCAGCCTCCTCCAACCCAGGACCCCAGATGCAAAACCTGGCTGAAATTATTTCCAACCTGTTTGGAAAGTGCCAGATTACCGGCGTCTGGATTAAACCTTTGTAAGCAAAGCCATGTATGTGTTGTTTTTTTTGTTTTTTGCTAATTTTGAGATTTTATCTTCATGTTTTCATACTTTTATTTTTTTTTTAAGTGCACTAAAGCAGGAAAGAAATGTCTGTCTCTTGGTTGCATCTCTTTGCTAGAACTTCCTGTGGTTGTGCATCCGATCACAATCACAATCTCGATGGCTCAGAGAGTCTGGTAAACTTTGCACTCGTCTGGCTCCCAGCTTCGGTCTCAACCACCAGCTCAGACATCTGAGACGGGGGGGGGGATCTCTGTGGTTGATTAAAGAAGTAATAACATCACAAAAGTCTGGGACTTGAGACTGGCCTACTTTGGCTGGACCCAAAGTCCTTGTGACTCACACACACACACACCACAACGGCTCTGCAGAAGAATTTCAGTTCCGAAAGAACAGGCTACATGGATTCTTTCTTTGAAGCCTTGAGACTGTTTTCATAAAGAGACAGTTTCTCTTCCTGCAAGAAAATCTCCTAATGACGAGCGTGAATCCTGCACAGGTAGTCCTCGATTTACGACCACTTGTTTAATGGCTGCTCAAAGTCACAATGGTGCTGAAAAATGTGATTGCTGACTGTTTTTCATACTTGAGACTATTGAAGCTTTCCCATGGTCACCGGATCAAAATTCAGACAATTAAATTAGAACAACTGACCAGTGGAACGACCTGCCACCAGAAGCTGTGGGTGCTCCAATACTGGAAGTTTTTAAGAAGAGACTGGACAGCCATTTGTCCGAAATGGTATAGGGCAGGGGTCTTTAAACTTGGCCCTTCTATGATTTGTGGACTTCAACTCCCAGAATTCCTCAGCCAGGCCTGGCTAAGGAATTCTGGGAGTTGAAGTCCACCAGTCATCAAAGGGCCAAGTTTGAAGGCCCCTGGTTTAGATGGGGATAATGCTTTATTCAGAGTGGTGTTTCTCAACTTGGGCAACTTTAACAAGCCTGGACTCCAACTCCCAGAATACCTGGCTGAGGCATTCTGGGAGTTGAAGTCCACAAGTCATAAAAGGGCCAAGTGTGAAGGACCCTGCTTGTGAACTTCAACTCCCAGAATTCCTCAGCCAGGCACGTGGGCTGAGGAATTCTGGGAGTTGAAGTCCACAAGTCATAAAAGGGTCATAGTTCCCTCACACGGGCTGAGGTATTCTGGGAGTTGAAGTCCCCAAAGTCATAAAAGGGCCAAATTGGAAGACCCCTGGTGTAGGCCTTACTTTTAGGGAAACACGGTAGGAGGGCAAAAGGGTCCTTGAGTGCCACCCTCCGCCCCAGGCACAAATCCTGTGTGGGTGCTTGGCACTTCCTGCCTGAGCAGGGGGTTGGACTAGATAACCTCCAAGGTCCCTTCCAACTTTACTACTACTACTACTACTACTACTACTACTACTACTACTACTATTATTATTATTATTATTATTATTATTATTATTATTATTATTATTATTATTATCTGTTACACAGCAGTCCCTCAATCCCTTCTTCCCTCAGCTATTTGACCAGGGTAGTACAGGTAATCCTCGCCTTACGACTACAATTGAGCCCAAAATTTCTGTGGCTAAGCGAGACAGTCAAGTGAGTTTTGCCCCACTTCACGACCTTTCTTGCCTCCGTTGTGACATGAATCACTGCGGTTGGCAAGTTAGCAACACAATTTTTAAGTGACTCAGGCTTCCCCCGTTGACTTTGCCCGTGAGAAGGTCGCTAAAAGGGCACCACACATGACCCCAGGATGCTGCGACCGTCATAAATAGGAACCAGTTTCCAAGCGTCTGAATTTTGATCACGTGACCCTGGGGCGGGGGATGCCGCAACGGTCGTAAGTGTGAAAACAAAATGATGAGTCACATTTTTTCAGTGCCATTGTAACTTCGAACAGTCACTAAACAAGCTTTTGTAAGTCGAGAACTGTCTGTCTAAGCAGGGGGTTGGTCCTGAAGACCTCCGAGCCCCTCCCAGTTGTGATCCTGTGTGTTGTGTGACTTGCATCCTCAAAGGGGAGTCCATCCAGGCTTGTGTTCCTGTCCCCAAACGTGGCTTCCCAAAAGAAGAAGTCTTTGGGCGCTTCCATTCCTTGGGACCTCCACTCCTTTCCCTCATCTTAATAATAATAATAATAATAATAATAATAATAATAATAATAATAATAATAATAATAATAATAATAATAATAATAATAATAAAGTTGGAAGGGACCTTGGAGGTCATCTAGTCCAGCCCCCTGCTTCTTGTCCAGCCTTCGGGGGCTTTGGAAAATAGCTTGACTCCCTCTTCTTTGGGGCAGCCCCTGAGATACTAGAACGCTGCTATCATGTTCCCCCTCGTCCTTCTCTTCATTAATAATAATAAAGTTGGAAGGGACCTTGGAGGTCATCCAGTCCAACCCCCTGCTCAGGCAGGAAACCCTATACCATTTCAGACAAATGGCTGTCCAGTCTCTTCTTAAAAACTTCCAGTGTTGGAGCATTCACAGCTTCTGGAGGCAGGTGGTTCCACTGGTTAATTGTTCTGACTATCAGGAAGTTTCTCCTTAGTTCTTGGTTTCTTCTCTCCTTGATTAGTTTCCATCCGTTGCTTCTTCTCGTCCGGCCTTCTTGACGCTCTTCTTTCTCTTTTGCAGAAATTCCCAGAGCTGAAGTTCAAATACGTGGAGGAGGAGCAGCCCGAAGAGTTTTTCATCCCCTACGTTTGGTCTCTGGTCTACAACTCCGCGGTGGCCCTTTATTGGAACCCGCAAGATATCCGGCTTTTCACCAGGGATTCGGGTTGAGACCCCACAGCGAAGGCAAAAGCCAGCCCCCGTCCTCAAAGGAGTGCTTCCCAACTGAGACTTCCCAAGAAGGGACGCTTGTTCCCCTTGTACAGCCCCACTTATTATTTCCCTGGGAGGCAGGTCAGAAGCCAGAAAAAACACACGTTGGACTCCAATAAGATTGTATGCTAGTTTTTAAACCTATCTATTTGTAAAGCCAAGAGATGGGGAGGGGGGTGTATTTTTTTCCCATCCACACTGGCACTTGGGTCGGAAGAACTCGACGATAAGGTGAGATATTAACACCAGTCAGCTTTTTTTTTTGTGGGGGGGAAACCCACAAAATAATGCAAAGTGAGGGAATGTGAGAAAATATATTTTGTTTGGGGTAAGTCAGCGTTTGCAAAGGTGGTTTTCTTCTTTGCCTTCTCTCAGCGTATCTGCAAAAGCCTTTGAGGTTTTGCTGTGGCTTCCAGCTTGATCTCTGCAGACTTTAGTACCTTTTCACGCTGGGTGTAACGGAAATGTCTAAATTAACCCTGTGGCATTGATTTTTTTATTTATTTTTTTTAAATGCTTCATTTTGAAAGGCACTAAAATTACCGTTTCTTGCTCTGCAAATCTCAAAAAGTCCCCAAAAAAAGAAAATTAAGAGCAGCTCACAATTCATGGTTTCAGAAGTACTGTTACACCAGTGTAGGTTTCTCCAAAGTTTCACTGATGCTTCTCCCCCAAAACACACCCAGAAACACACACACACACTTCTGAGGCTTCTTTCAGATAAATTGTTCTTGACAGAAATTGGCAGGCACACACATTTCAAAATAAATGGTCCATGTTATGTACCTTAAAGAGAATGGGCAACATGCTACAGGAGAGGAAAATGGGGGAAGCACTTAGTATAGCATTCACACACCATATGAGCTTGTGATTGTTATTTTCCCAAAAAAAAAACCAAACCCACCGCTCTAGGCCAGGCTGCCAAGTTAAGGAGCGAAAAAGATCCACAATCGTCTTGCCCACTCTACTCTTTTACAGAAAAAAAAATATACGACATAACAAAATAAAGATGACATGGGAGACTGGCAAGGTGTGTGGAAGAGGAGCCCCCCCCCTTTTAAATATCTTTTCACAAATTATTTTGCTTGGTTTTTAACCTCCTGACCAATATTAGAACAGCATGGTTCCTTCCCCCCCCCGTGTCTATTTTGTAAAAATGCCGCTTAAAATACAACCATATTTACTTCCTTCTGCAGCTGTAGAGAAAACTGCGTAGCGACTTCGAGTTCATTTAGTTTTGCACAGAGACGGATTTGGGGTGTCGGGGGATATAAGCGCCGTTTTTTAAAAAAAATTGGAAGGCGACCTGATGACGGGAGAAATATTTCACACGGTGTTTGGTCTCTTGGCGAGTTGAATGTCTTGCAACCCTCTCCTTCCAATAAATGGCTGTTGACTGCAAGCTGTGGCAAATTCAGTGTTTCAAAGGGGAAACGACAAATTAGAACCGTTGAATATTTTACCTGTCCAAATGGAAGGCTGGAAAAATGGCTCAATTCGGTCACTTTTACCGGGCTTTACGGGAGAAGGCCGGGCCTTTGGAGCAGGGTTGTGCGGCACTTTGGGCAAGAATTGTCGGGGTGTGTGCAAGGAAGTGCGACTCCAGCAACTGTCCGCAGCTCTTTAAAATAGCTTTGGCTTCTCGCGGGGTTTTAAGGTTGCCTGCTGCAGCCGCCGCATCAGCCTGAGAAAAGATGCAGCTGCGTTAAAGAGCTGCAGACAGGTTGTCAGTTTACTCTCTAAAACAGGGGTCCCCCAACCGTGGCCACTTTAAGACTTGTGGACTTCAACTCCCAGAATTCCCCAGCCAGCAGGGCTGGCTGGGGAATTCTGGGAGTTGAAGTCCACAAGTCTTAAAGTGGCCACGGTTGGGGACCCCTGCTGTAAACACCCTTTCAGAGATGAATGGAATCTGCAGCCCGAACTTCTCAACCTTGGCAGCTTAATGATGGGTGGACTTCAACTCCCAGGATCCCCCAGCTTTACTAGCTGGGGAATTCTAGGAGTTGAAGTCCACCCATCTTTAACGGCTATGTTGAGCAACGCTGCCCTCCAAGGCCACCTTGGTCTCAAGTTTCCAAAACCACTGGGGGTGGGGGGGAAAGGTTGTCACACATTTCTATTACGAGAATAATGGTTTCTCTGGCGTGCAAATACTTTTTTTGGTTTCAAGTGTGGGGCAGCCCGCTTAGGACTGGAACGGACCCAAATAAAGAGATTTACGCAGAAATTATAGCGTTTGATATAATGTCCTCTCTGGAGCAATACAAAAGCTTTCGTGATGTATGGAAACTGCAATCTGAGACAGGCCCCATATATTTGTTGCTGACTTTTACAGCATTAAAGCACCTTCCCTGGGAATTCTTTTCAGAAATATGCGGTTAAGGTTTCCCCTCAAGAAGAGAGAGCGTTAAAAACAAACAATCCAGTAATTCTCTCTCGCTTACTTTCATTTTACGGGCAACTGAGCGGCTCCCAAGACTGTGTTTTCATGGAGGATATCTCCTTTTTTGGTTTACCTTTTCCACAAAATTAAACTTCCAGAATGAGCTCCGTCCAGATTATGCAACCTGGCGAAGATTCCAAGCTATCGTGAATTTTTTTATTATTTGTTAGCCACATTTCATTTTATCTCTGTTATTATTCAAATGCATTTTCTACAACCAGGGGCCTTGGCAATTGCCGACAGCGCTCTCAGGCTGTTGTTAAAGGGTTGCAGGCAATATCAGTGGCCCCCATTGCCTTCCGGTTCATCAAAACACAACTTGGGGTTCTTCTTAGCATTTGCAACGCCGGCTAATTTTTGCATGCGTTCTCCTAGTTTTTCACGGCAAAGTTGTCCAACGAGGTTGATTCTTCAACTGGCTTGTTGCAAACTCCGATCTTCAGTGGAGCCGAGAGGGAGGGACTGGCCCACAGGTGCAACTGTCTCGTATGCCTAAGACAGGGGTCTGCAACCTTGACAACTTTAAGACCTGAGGAATTCTGGGAGCTGAAGTCCACAAGTCTTAAAGTTGTCAAGGTTGCATGGAAAAGATACTTAAAGAAATATAATCAATATATATATATATATACACACACTTTAATATTTTTCTTGGTAGAACAGGTAGACCTTGATTAATAACCATTTGTTCAGCAGCCATTTAAAGTTACCGTGGCTCTGAACAAGATAAACTGGTCCCCAAAGTTGCAGTGTCCCTGTGATGACCTGAGGGGCACTGGAGAGCTTCACCGCCATCTTCGGATAAGCAGAGTCATTGGGGCAGCCAGCAGGAACTCGCAAACGGCAATCGTGTGATGTCACACCTAATGGCCAGGCCGGATTTGCCTCAAGACCACCACTGAAACGGTGAAATGTTGGTTCAGTCATGTGACATCATAGTTTACGATCACATCCTTTAGCACGGGGGTCTTCACACTTGGCCCTTTGATGACTGGTGGACTTCAACTCCCAGAATCCCTCAGTCGGCCATTTTGATGAAACTGCGGGCTTGGATCCAGACCAGGGGCCTTCAAACGTGGCCCTTTGATGACTGGTGGACTTCAACTCCCAGAATTCCTCAGTCGGCCATTTTGATGAAACTGCGGGCTTGGATCCAGACCAGGGGNGATGACTGGTGGACTTCAACTCCCAGAATTCCTCAGTTGGCCATTTTGATGAAACTGCGAGCTTGGATCCAGACCAGGGGCCTTCAAACTTGGCCCTTTGATGGCTGGTGGACTTCAACTCCCAGAATTCCTCAGTCGGCCATTTTGATGAAACTGCAGGCTTGGATCCAGACCAGGGGTCTTCAAACTTGGCCCTTTTGTGACTGGTGGACTTCAACTCCCAGAATTCCTCAGTCGGCCATTTTGATGAAACTGCAGGCTTGGATCCAGACCAGGGGTCTTCAAACTTGGCCCTTTGATGACGGGTGGACTTCAACTCCCAGAATTCCTCAGCCAGCGTGCTTGGCTGAGGAATTCTGGGAGTTGAAGTCCACCCGTCATCAAAGGGCCAGGTTTGAAGACCCCTGCTTTAGCAACAGAGTTCCTGGTCCCAATTACCGTCATTCACCGAGAACTACCTATGTTCTTGAAGAACGTCTTTATAGTAAATCAGTGTTTACCTCAGCAACTTTAACATGCCTAAACTTCAACTCCCAGCATTCCTGGCTGGGAGAATCTAGACCAGTGGTTCTCAACCTGTGGGTCGGGACCCCATTTGGGGTCGATCGACCATTTCACGGGGGTCGCCAAGCAAGGCTATCCGCCATTTTTTCCCCCTTTTCCGGCGGGTGCCTTACCTCTCTTGGGCTGGGCCAGCTGGTGGTCGGCCTGCTCCGTCTCTGCCGCTTGCCAGCTACGCCTCGGCCGGCGCAGGGGGCGGAACCACACATGCGCAGTGCTCCCAGGCAGGGAAAGTCCTCGACTTACGACCGGTTGGGTAGTCCTCGACTTACGACCGGTTTAGTCCTCGACTTACGACCGGTTTAGTCCTTGACTTACAACCGGTTGGGGTCGCGGCATTAAAAAGGTTGAGAACCACTGATCTAGACCCATTTTCAGGTTGTCCAGGTTGAGAAACACATCCATAGAGATTCGAAACGCAACGAGACCAATTTTCCCAACCGGGAGCTGATCTCCTTCAAAGCACCTTCTCCCTTTTTGCTGAACCCAAATCAAGTCCTTGGCCTGGTTGCATGGACAAATCCGGAGGTTTCCAAAATACATGGGAAAACAGCGTCTGTTTTCATAACGCCTGCTTTGAACTTTTACAGATCACAACACGGGGAAATGGCATTGTAAATCTATCTTTGTTCTCCGGGCACTGTTGTGAAAGCGGGCTACGTTTTGTGTTGGGAATACATTGGGCGGCCATCTAAATTGAAATAAAGGCTCTCTCGGTTGAACACTCACAAAGCGCCGTCTTTCTGGCCCAGCCAAGTTGACTCCCTCTGAAAAAATCCAGGGAGAATTAAGGTCTGATTTATGCATTGTTGTGTTAAATTCACTTTTTGGCGCACTCCTCTTCGGGGTCCATCCCCAGGCTAAGCGTAGGTCAAACCCCGTGCAAGGTAATGCATCATTAAAAAGGATTATGCAAGCAGTATCTTAACAAAACCCAAGTGAATTAAAATAAATCCCGCTGTGCGTTTAGTTATTTGATGTAATTGGCCATATCTTGATTATTGATTCATCCAGTTGGATGTGATTATGTCGGAGTTCTTTAAACAACCTTTTCCAAAACGCTGGAAAGAAATTTTTGCAAAAGAGCTCGGGACGCTGTCGGTCGGCAGGATAATTCTCTGGGAATATGGCAGAACCGGATCAAATCGGGTGCAGGGAGAGATCAATCCTCAAATGAAGGGCCAAGAGTGGGACGTGCTGGTCTGCAAAAAGGGACCGATGACTGTGTTTCACACTTAACGGCCATTACAGCATCCCCAGGGTCACATGATAAAAATTCAAGACGCTGGGCAACCGGTTCATATTTATGACTGTTACAGTATCCCAGGATCACGCTATCTCCTTTTGCGACCTTCTGACAAGTAAAGTCAATGAGGGAAGCCAGATTTCACTTAACAACCGTGTTACTAACTTCACACCTGCAGGGATTCACTTAACAACTGTGGCAAAAAAGGTCATAAAATGAGGCAAGACTCAATGTTCCGCTTAGCAACAGAAATTTTGGGCTCAATTGTGATCGTAAATTAAGGATTATCGGTCTCTGCAGAAGGTATTCATCCAGTCTTCTGCAGCCTCAAGGTCTGCATAGGTTGGGACTACAGCTCCCATCGCTAATCTGTGGGACCATGGGGGTTGTAGTCCTGTGCCTTTTGGAGAGCACCTGGTTGGGATATGGATGAAATGCCCAGGTCCCCAGACTCAAAGAAGAACCGCCCGTTAATACCCTAATCCAGGGTTTCTCAATCTTGGCAACTCTTTAAGATGGGTGGACTTCAATTCCCAGAATTCCCCAGCCAGCAAACCTAATCAACAACTGAAAAGCTACACACAACCAGGAACCCTATAAATACAACACGTAAAACTCGTGGGCGCTCCGTCACTGGAGGTTTTTAAGAAGAGACTACCTAGGTCAGGGGTAGGCAACCTCGGCTCTTTGATGACTCTTTGATGACTCGTGGACTTCAACTCCCAGAATTCCTGAGTCAGCTGTGCTGACTCAGGAATTCTGGGAGTTGAAGTCTACGAGTCATCAAAGAGCCGAGGTTGCCTACGCCTGACCTAGGTCATTCCCGTAGAACGGAGAAAAACAACGCAGGGCCAAAGTGGTTCAAGATTCAGGATTTGGGTGGGCTCCAATCCTGAGAGTGTTTTTTGCGGCCTCCCCTTAAAATAGCACAACGGAGAGAGAGCCGTCTCCAGTCAAGCAAGCTATGAGAATGTAGGA